CTGAATTCTTTTAATAACATTATTATGCTGCTGCTAATCAAATATTGATATACAATTAATATGTAGATCAAAGGAGTCTAAAGAAAAAAATTTTTATAATCGAACATTTTTCTGAGAGCCAGATGCAGCCATCAATAGAGCCACATCTGGCTCGCGAGCCATAGGTTCCCGACTCCTGTCTTAGACGCTTTGCCTGTTGTCCCCCACCCCTTTTTTTTTTTTTGTAACTGCACAACTTAACGCTATTTGCTGGTGTATTTGCGGCATGCAGTACTGTGTCGTAAAATTGAAGGCTTCCGTGTTTCAATCTATGGAGTGAATAAAACAAGTGTGACGTCACTGATGCCAATGAAGCGCGTGCGGGCTGACTGGTTAATCCATGAATCGAGTTTTGAACTATTGAAATGAATGTGCATGTGTCTATGTGCTGCGCGGCTGCAATGGTCATGCAGAATGTCAATCAGAAATAAACACACACACACAAACAAAAACTGTTTTTGAAAAGCTGTATTGTAAATTGCATTAAAATTAATTTAAACCTTAGCTGCCGTAATTTCTTTTCTTTTTTTTTTTTGGATTTGCACATTTTTTAACTGCCATCCCCCACCCCTCACGTTTCTGTCAACATTCGCCATCTCCCTCCATCACGGGTGTGTACATATATATAGTATATTTACGCTATATTATAAAGGTTAGCGATGCCCAATGTTCGAACCACAATCGATGCAACAATGTTGTTTATGTGATTAATACATAAATGGCATACATCGCTAAAGAAAACAAAAAAAGATGACTTATTGTTCAAAATTATATTTTTATTACCGGTATCATTACATTGTTCAAATGCTCTGCAAAGCAGGGTCTGATTTTGGGCCTTTGAGGCCCCTGAGCGCAGCCAACACAGCGCCTCGTAGCTTTATAGAAGTAATACAACATCACCCCCAGTGAAGGACAGGCGATGATATACTGAAGCCCTTTTCACCTGCGTCCGGGGGGGGGGGGCCCGTCGCCATGGGGGAAAATTTCCCTCCACCATTCCCAACAAGGACAATCAGGCGCTGCTAGACAGTCTTTATAATTAACTTTATAAATAAGTATCCGGCATAAACAAGCTAAACAGCAGTAGTCAAGTAAAAGCTACATAAACTATAAGATTATGGCAAGCCAGACAACCCTAGGAGAAAGCGAAAGTGGGGTAATGAGATTAATTAGAAGTATTGTATTTCCTGGTGGTTTTCTCTAGTGAGTGGTTTCAAAGTAAAATTGCAACAGATCAATTTAAGGATTTTATACTTCTTGTACTTTTCTGGAGGTTGGAGATGGGCTGGAAGAGGAAATAACAGTGTGCAACAGTATCTGAATGGCACTGAGTTGACATGACACCAGCACAAACTTCTTGCTGTCTTTGGAATAGGCGGGTTCATTACAACACCTGGTATCATTGCAGTGTCAACAGTGATTATGAAGCTGAGAAACAAAATAGTTCATTAAAAAATGAAGCAGTCGGTAAAAGTTGTGGTTTTTTTATACGGGGCTTGAAACAGAATTCATCGATTTTCGAACATTACAAAATGCAGTGTCAAGCCCAGACTCAGTTCGTCTAATATGTGATGCCAGATAGAGCTCATCAAATCATTCTATGTACTAATATGATGGCTTCTAATTATTAAAACAAAGAAAATATTTCCTCAACTAATATTTACTACTAAAACTGTGAACAAACATCATCTCCAGAGCTTCTCAGAGCTATCATCACGTTCATCAAATCTGACATTGAAAAGAACTCATTTCTCAAATGCTCATAAACCATATGCAAAAGTGCAAACACTATTTTGGGGTTCACTTCAAAAAGACCACCCAAAGTTAAAATCTTAGTCTTAGGGGCCATTCATATATTACGCAGGCCAAAAAAAATTACATTTAATCCTCAGCTCCTGTGGCACCCGTACTTTTTTTGGGCACCCTCCTCCCAAGTACACTCGGCTCTCACCAAACAAAAAAAACAAAAAAAACACATTTAATTATAATCCCACTCAAAGAAAAAAAAAATGTCTTTGTGTTTCAATTACGTTTTTTGAAGTAATTTTGAAAAAGAAAAAAAAATTTAAATTTTTTTTCCGTCTGGTGAGTACACAAATAAATTAGAAGGTTTTTCGACGCATGAGCAGGCAACACCCAGCTGTCTATCTATCTGTCTGTCTGTTTATAGATGTAAGAAAATGTTAACTCATCAAAGAAATTTTTAATCCATCTCTATTTTCAAAATTGAAATGTCACTGGTGTAAAATGATGGCGTTTTGATATTCTCATTTTAGCACTTAAGAAAATCAATGACGTTAACAATATAATTCTACATAATTCTACCCTTGAATGAGAATGAATTTGATAAATAGTTAACCTTCTTAGGTACATATATATATCGGGGGTAGGAAATATGGGGTATACATGTTTACGTGGATGACAATAGCGTTAAATCTAATGACACTACAGTTGTGAAAAAAATAGATGTTATATTCTCATTTTAGCAATTAAGAAAATCAATGAAGTTAACAAACGTAATTACATGTAAGAAGGTTAACTATTTATCAAATTCATTCTGAGGCTTATCTTGTGCTGCCTTGGGCAAACGAATGTATCGTATTACTCCCCCTCTCCCCTCTCCCCCCCCCCCCACCCCCAAACAGAGTTTCACAAAAATGAATCAAATCACCCACGGGATTGTAACCCCCTTACTTTCACAAAAACAATTTTTGGGCATTTCCTAACAACACATGCTTTGTGCTTAGTTGGGGGTGAGTGATCAGTGCAATAGTGCATGCTATGGAGTTGCGCTGCACTGTCTCAAACGGCATTTTCTTATTAAAAGTATATTGAAAAAGTTTTTACTACTTTGGGGGCATCCATTAATTACGTCAACAAATTAGAGGAGGGGGGGTGGAAATGTTTGTCAGTTGTTGACAAGGGAGTGGAAGGTTTTTTTTAGATTAGTTGAAGTCAACAATCATGTTTTTTCAATTAAAATTTTAATCTTAACAATTAACTGGTTCTTACATTATTTTAAACAATTTAATGAGTGTAAATAGTCATATATGTTTAGGTTTTTAACAATATAAGAGTTATTTAGTATGTGTCTGTCTGTGCACTGCAGATGGCTGGTCAGAATGTTAGCACACTTTGTTAGTGCAAGAGAAGTCAAAAGTTGGCATCTCTGCACTAGTCATTTTTCTCTTAATTGATTGATTGATTGAATACTTCTATAGCGCTAAGTATCCATGCTATTTTAGCATGCTCAGTGCGCTTTCAGTGATGGCATCAGGGGCGTCGCAGGGGTTGTCGGAATAATCCACTCTCAGTTCCGCAAGATGAAATTGATAAATTAGCTACTATAGACTATGCCCATCAGGGGCGTCATTTCAGGGTTTTTTTTCAGGGGAAGGGAGGGGGGCAAAACGAAAACTTGGTCGGCTTGTTAAGTTGTTTATTACTGAAGGCGCCACAGTACCGTACTTAGCAATTTAAATAAAACTAGAAAAATCAGGGGGGGGGGGCAAATGCCCCCATGCCCTACCCAAATGATGTCCCTGATGCCCATTGTTACGATAGAGCAACACATGGCTACTCCATGGGAAAATAATAGCAGCTAGAAACTATACATACTATAATCGTCAGCTATACTGAAAAGTATTATATGTATACTTCCACAATCAATTATATTTATTCTTTAACAAACTTTTCATTTATTCTGCATAATAAACTTTAAGTGAAAAAACTTTGTAACTTGTTGATTAACTTTACAATTATAAGCTAAAAATGTCATCAAATGTTTTTCCGACAATTTTGCGTCATTAAAACTACATGACCACAGAGTCACACAATCAAACGTATTTATACATTGGTTGATATTATCATTAATTTTCTTAGTGGGGGGGGGGGGTATAAAATGTTGGCTTAAATAAAGGGTAGATTTGGCATCAAAAGTTTGACAGTTGTTGACAGGGGGTAAAAATTGCGGGGAAATTATTGGCGTAATTAATGGACGACCCCTTTATAAATTTCATAAAAGTATATTTTTGGAATGAATAAAAATTAAAAACTTAATAAATTTAAAAAATACAAAGTTAAATTTGCATTTAATTTTAGCAATTTAAAAAGCAATAAATTATATGCCGGTATTATAGGCTATGTATTAATTTTACTTTTAAGAAGAACATTATAATCATTATCGTTTTTGTCACGCACGGTTATAAAATCAAAGAAACTTGTGGCTAAAATAGGCAATCGCGCTATGACGTCATTTGAGTATTTATTTAATTAATTTTATTTTGATTTTGCAATAATAACAACGCACTAAAAATAACAGATGTTTGGGTTTTCCCGATAAATGTGATTACGATGCAATTCTTGAATCATAATTTTTTTATTAATAGTTTTTTTCATAACTTTTACATACGGATAAAAGGCTTAAAATAGCTCCTTAGTTGTTACTTTAAATGTATTTGTAATTTATAATAATAATTCTTAAATTTTTACTAAAATAAAAGCGGATATATAATATTTTTAGCGCATTTAAATTTATTCAATTTCCGTAAAATAATAGAAAAGAACTATGATTGTTTTTAAGAATCCGAAAATATCTAAATACTTTCGCGGTTAAAGTACCGTATCTAAATACTTTCGGTTTTTTTTTTTTTTGGAGCTACGGTCAGCTTAGCTTATTCTTATATATATTAAGTTAAGACGTACAATGCAGTTAAATAAAGTCAAGTCACTATAAACTAGAGTTTTCTAACTTGTGACATACACGCCACAGGGAGGCAATTTTAACCTGGGGCGTCATGTCACTTTTTTCGGGGGTGGGGGGGGGGNTATATCGTATAGGTCTACTGCATTTTTCAATTGTTGGCTTGAGTACGAACAATGCAGTAGCTTCTTGGCCTATGTCCCCTGTATGGATGACGAGCTATCAACACACAAAAATTATCAACTAGTCCAGTGATGAACAGCGTCCATAAAGGAATAAGCACAAAATAAAGACTGATGTTAAAATTTTCAAGTCGTAGGCTATTTGAAAATAATTAGCCATCATTGATTTTATAGATTGACAGCCGGCTTTATTAGAGATATTAGAGACAGTCAAAATTTCAGCATAATCATTGGAAATTTTGTGCATAAATCTATGTACTTTCTGCTTAGACTCCTAGACCCTCTCCAATTCATATGCAGCCATATGCAAAATCTCCAAATCATCAACCCTTTTCAGGGCATTCGTAATATATGTATGGCCCCTTACGCTAACTTAGTGTCATATAATGTGAAAATATGATTATGGCATTTCAATAATTAGACGCCCTACTCCTTTCATAGAATCAGAAAATCAATAGAATGAAAGAACATAACTGTTTTGTATTTTCGCTATTATCCTTGTGAATTAGAGAACACATTAAACTCAAAGACATCAACTTCTCTTCTTCTTTTCAAAAATAATATCCCTTTTTGTCTCTGATTAGCATCATTTTCAACTTGTTCCTTGGTGCAGGGCAGTGGACTTAAAACAATCTTTTTTAATGTGTGACTGAATTTATAAATAAATAACTGTATATCGTATAGGTCTACTGCATTTTTCAATTGTTGGCTTGAGTACGAACAATGCAGTAGCTTCTTGGCCTATGTCACCTGTATGGATGACGAGCTATCAACACACAAAAATTATCAACTAGTCCAGCGATGAACAGCGTCCATAAAGGAATAAGCACAAAATAAAGACTGATGTTAAAATTTTCAAGTCGTAGGCAGAGTAAAAACTGAAAAACCAATTTCAGCAAAGTGCAGATAACAAGTGCATATTTTCTACGTTTTGTCATGTCATTTCTGTCCACATTGGGATTGTATGCTGATCGGAAGTGCATGATGATGTTAACTGTAAAATAAAAATGAAATGAGCATTAACATTAACATCGGTATGGTTACAAAAATATCACAACAATGTGCTAAGTAAACTGACACAGAAACAAACAAAACAGGTGTTCACAAAATGTAAAAGAGAATATACAGAAATAGTAAGTCAGAAACCTAAATACCTATTGACCTAAATGCAAATCAAATATGTTTTTCTTTCCAACCCACTATTAATTAATGGATTTTTTATTTGAAATGTTCCTCATCAACTTAAAACCACAATTTTTGAATGATAGTGGTCCGTTCAAAATTGTACTGTAAGTAGTGTAAGTGACTAAGTGTAAGACTTACAGAACTCTTGCTCAGCTTTAGACTTATGACCATAATGTATGGTGTATAAATAGTATAAATAGAGCATATACAGTGTTTTCCAGCACCTATTTTATCTATGTCACAGGGATTAGAGTAAGAGTTTTTTTTTTAAAAGAGATATTAATTAATCTTGTATTTTAGCATAGTTAAGTAAAGATATTTAGCCAGTGATTGTAATTTAGGAAATCTAATTATTTATTTGACATCTCCCTTTCAGGGATGACTTAAAAATTGTCGGTATACCAAAGTATTAACAAAATGTAAGCATATTCCGAAAACTATTTTAATTTTTAGCCATTTCCAGTTGACCAGCATTATTCAAATGGTGTTACACAAATTTGCACAAAGTAAAAAAAAACGCATTTGCAAAATGGGGAGATGAAAGGGGGATAATATGCTGATTTAGCTATTTACTGAGAGAAATGAAAATGGGAACAAAAGATTAAGATTTAATGAAATAATTTCACCCGGAACATAAATTTCGGGGCAAGCAAAGGTACTTTATTGTATGCATCTAATTATTTGACAAGACAAAATGACCTGCGGTTCCCCCTTTTCTTTGTGTAATTTCAGACAGAACATACATTTCGGGATAAATATTTGTTAAGCGTTAATGACCTGCGATTGCCCACTTTCTTTGTATAATTTCAGCTAGTACATAAATTTCGGGGTGAGCTAAGCTACTATATTGTATCCATCTTGATCAGTGTTTCCCAACATGGGGCCATTTGATTGTTAAGGGGAGCAATTTGTAAAAAAAAAAAAAAAAAGTCGACACGAATTTGAAAACCCATCGTCTACTATGATTTAACTAGAATTTTAAACGGAGAATCTTTAGAACCTCAATATTTTAACCTATCCACCTCAACATATTGATTTCCCAACATGGGGCCATTTGATTGTTAAGGGGAGCAAATTGTAAAAAAAAAAAAAAAAAAGTCGACACGAATTTGAAAACCCATCGTCTACTATGATTTAACTAGAATTTTAAACGGAGAATCTTTAGAACCTCAATATTTTAACCTATCCACCTCAACATATTGTAAACCCTGTCCCTAGCAAACTGGTTGTAGCTCACGCGTACAATTATTTTAATGAGAAAAAAGTGTTTCTGGCTATTCCTTATTTCACAGTAAATGGTTCTCTTCAGAGCTGTAGCTAAGGGAGGGCAGATGGGGACAGATGTCCCTGGGCTTTGATATTAATTTCTTGATTAAAATAATGGGTCAGAGAGATGAAAAAAAAGAAAGGGAGGCTTTTTAAAATGAATCTTGTCTCTGAGCACCAAACACTCTAGTTACGCCTCTGGTTCTCTTTGTTATTTTCTTTTTTACGATGTTGCTTGATTTAGTTGCCTTGAAACCAAACTCCCTTCACGGATCATGTAGTTTCTCCCACTAAAGCATTTCTTCTGTACACTAATGAAAAAAATGATCGAACAATAGCTGCCTGCACCAACAGAGAAGGTGGGAAAGTAAGAGGAGGCAAATGACAAAGGCTGATGAAAACTTTTATTGGCTGCATACTACTCCTACTACACAATGCCAATCTTCATCTCAGCAGCATTTTTCCAGTTGATGGAAATTCTATTGTTAGGGCACATATTCAATGACAAGATTCAGCAAACTTCTGATTCATACTTGTTTTCACAACAATGATACTAAATCAAGCCTTTCTAGCTCGTGACATCTTTGATCCAATAATAAGAGATGTATGAGAAGCATTCCTGAGAAATTCGGAGAGGTATTATGTTCCAAAGAGAACATCACAGTAGCTGAGCAACTGGTTGGTTTCAGGGGTCGGTGCAGATTTATTCAATATATGCCAAGCAAGCCCGACAAATATGGAATACAAATCTTCTGGGCCTGTGACTGTGAATCGACTTCGAACTGTCCTCTGAGAGGATGCCCATACCTTGGCTAAAAAAATGCAAGTGCTCAGCCTGCAAAGAAAAATGTTGGAATATCCCAAGAGACTGTGAAATCTCTCACAAGGGACTTGCATGGAAGTGGCCAAAATTTCAGAACAGACCATTATTACATTCCCCTACAACTTGCTTAACAAATACAGACTCACCCTAGTTGGAACAGTGAAACGGAACAAGTCGTTCTACCCAAGGGGTTCGAGCAAAAGAAGCCCCTCAACAAATCAGTGTTTTTGTTCAGACTAGAAACAACCTTGTCAAATACCAGAGATTGAAGCAGAAAAATGTATTGCTCTTGAACACAATACACAATCGTCCAGATATAGAAAGTGAAACTGAATGCAAGAAACCAGAGATTGTGCTCTGTAACAACAAAATCAAAGGAGGCATATTCGCCATGGACCAAATGGTGAAGGTGTTCTCTGTGAATACAAAAAACTAAAAGTAAAAGATGGCATTTGGTTGTGTTTTTCAGCATTGTTGACTTGGCATCAATGGCATAAAGAGTAGCATTTAAATATAAATATCAGACTAACTCACTGTCTCATGAAGACAACAGACAGTCAATACTGACGTTGCACATTTCCTCATCCTTCTGCAAGTAGAGACGATCCGTCCCGACGCATCAAGATATTGTGAGGCAGAACTTCACCAGTGTTTGAAAACTTAACAAATTTACAAGTTTATCAGACATATTTGTAAAGAACATTTTATTCTTTTATGTAAAAACTGTTCAAGCTGAGCTGTAAAGCCCCATTTTCCATGTGTACATGTGACTGTTCTGTTTTGAAATGGTCTTTCAAGTTATTATACATGTTATTATTGGTGGTGCCTAAATGCATTCAGAATATTTAGTTTTGTCAAAATGTAAAGCCTATTTTATGGATGACACATACTCAAATAATCAACAAACAACAATCAAGCAAAAATGTTCACAAGCCAGTTTAGACACTGTTTTATTCTATTAAATTATGCACAGGTGTGTTACACCCCGTTGCTAAGGACTGTAGAAAAAAAAAGTTTAGACCCCAAAAACAAGTTACTTTTGCATGCTTTAACAATTGCATCCACCAAGGTGTTCATTTCAACTACCTTGTGGATTAAATCGAGTATGAGAAAGATTATTAACTCTTTCCCTCCGGAATTATTTTCCACGTTCTGACGGAATTATCTATTTTGGGTTTTTGTTACGCACTACTATGTTTTCTCTAAACCTTCATAACTTTTTTGTTTTTAATCAGAAAATATTCATTTTGGTATGGAATTAAAGGGAAATGCATGCTCTTTGCAAGCAAACAAGATTTGGGTTTAAATTTTAATAAATAAATGTGATTGTGATTTAAGGAAAATAAAAATTTATTTAAAAAAACTCAACAAATGTTCACAAAACGCTCATTCAAAGTCACATGAAGAGAAATATATATTATAATCCAAAGTGTAACAAAAATGTTTTTTTTCTGAACTATATCCATATGTGCATCACAAAAAATAAAGATCAACTTTCAAAAAAGAAAAAATTGAACCTCAGAGCACATTATCCATTGTCACCGCCACACAAAAAATTAGCAAAAAAATTTAACTAATTCCACTGGAAACAATCTGTTGCTATTTAGAAAATAATTGCACTGTATCCTTGTATGTACTAACATTTATAATAGTAAATGGAAAATTTACCATACATTAGTCACATATTTCCATCTGGGTTTAGCTATAGTAAGCCTAAAAAACAATCCATATAGATGTGCCCTTTAGCTGGGGGTGGGGCTGGTTGTTCATCAGCTGATGAATTACCAATTTCATTATTTTGTCACTAGTACATCCTCATGTCCCTTAGTCCTTGGACCATTGGGGCGCCACAGATGACATGTGAACCATCCTCCTCCATTTCTCTCTGTCTTCAGCACTACACACTGCATCGCCCAGTGTTAGTCCTGTCCACTCTTTGATGTTATCCTCCCACCTTTTTCTTTGTCTTCCTCTTCTTCTATCTCCTCTTGTGGTGCCCTGCAATATTTCTTTGGAAAGCCCTTGTTTCCTTGTTACGTGGCCGTACCATTGTAATTTGCATTTTTTCACAGTCACCAGTAGGTCATCGTACTCCCCAATTGCCTGACGAATCCTTTCTTTCACTGTATCATTGGAGATATGGTCCCTATTGCAGATGCCAAAAATGCTTCTAAAGCATCTCATCTCCATCGCCTTTATTTTTTTAAGATCGGCTGTTAATGTCCAGGATTCACAGGCATACAGGAAAATGGAGAGGACTAGTGAGTTCATCAGCCTGATTTTGGTGCTGGGGGCTATATTTTTGTCATTCCATATTTTCTTGAGCTTTTTTAGTGCTGTTGTAGTCTGTGCAATCCTGGACATTAGTTCGGGCTTGGAGCCTTCTTCTGAGACTATTGCTCCTAGGTATTTGAAGCGGCCGACAGTCTCTAATCTTTCCTCCCCGACCTTAATTTCAGTGGTGATGCCTGCGGTATTATTTGTCATCAGTTTTGTCTTTTCGGCACTGATTAGCATGCCGTAGGACGACGAGGTCTTATCGAGACGCTTTACCAGGTCGGCTAGCTCTTCTTCGTTCCCAGCCAGCACGTCTATGTCGTCCGCAAAGCGTAGGTTGGTGATTGTTCTGCCACCAATGCTGACTGTCCCTTCATGCGCTTCCAGAGCATCTGACATAATTCTCTCTAGGAAGATGTTGAACAGGGTGGGGGAGAGCAGGCAGCCTTGTCGTACTCCAACTGTGGTCTTGAACCATTCTCCGATGTTGTTGTTGAGGAAGACTGCACTGGTGGTCTTATCATAGAGGTTGCATATCATGCTGGTTAGGTTTGTGTTGATGTTGTAGTGCCTCATGGTGGCCCATAAAGCAACATGCCGAACCCTGTCAAATACTAGTACTAGGATTATAATCATACGATTCAACAGAATCAGCCGCTGCATTTGAAATCATAAAATCACTGTCTGAATCATCATCAGAGCAACATTTTCCACCTTTATTTTATTAGATCGATCACCAGATGGGTCAGGTCAAGATTTCATGTTTGTAAACAAAAATAAAATGGACAATCAAAAAACCGCGTCAAACAATTCGTTCTTCGTTCAAACACAGTAAAACCGGATGTTTATGAAAGGGAAATCATTCTAGAATTGATTTAAAATAACTAAATACCAATAGCTAAGAAAAGAACCAAAATAAACAGGTTTTTATACATCCACGATCCCATCGTTGATACGCCAAAATCTTCATTTCAAATCGACGATGGGAAGGTTGATACGGAGGAAAAGAGTTAAAAGAAAACTCAAGATATCAGCAATCACAGTCTGTCTCCGGATGTATTTTACACCCAGTTGAGGTAGATAGGGTTAAAAAGAGACTCATTAGACTCTCATTTTAGAATAAGCGTTCGAAGTGTTGAAAACTACATTAAGTTGTATATATACTACAAAGGGGGCATACTAATTTTAGAAAGATGGGGCATAGCACCAAAAAGCTTGGGAAACACTGATCTGGATATTTAGCAAAAAGCGTCAATGACCTGCAGTCACTCCCTTTCCTCACGTAATGCGGTACATGCTTGTTTCCCTCAACTAAAACATGTATGATGCTATAGTTACACACTGGTCAAGAAAAATGTAAAAATAAAGAAAAACAATATAAAATAATTTTAAAATAATGAAAAACCAACTTACAGTTTCATAGAACACATTTTTACACACTTTATTTCAAGTTCCACCATTGGATTTTGTCAGAAAATCAATAATATATACTCATTTTCCAAAATGCCGAAAAATTTAAATATTATATTTAACCAACCAATTAGATTTTAATTTAAAACATCCCCTTCTAGTGACCACAACACAAAGGGGGATAAATTCAACTCAGAAACTTAATGTAAACACATAACCTATATATAATATCTATAATGACAACAAGGCATGAATTGCCTGTTTTAGCCAATTAATGATATAACTAAAACCAAACTTGTACTGAGCCAAAATAGATAACTAAGACCAAGGTTAGGACAACTTAGGCAAGCCTCACTGTAAAGGCAAGGGCAAAGGCTTTCTCAACAAAGGCTAGTGACTAGACTAAGCAGGCCAAGTCCAAGTTAAAATAAGAAAATAAGTTAAATTTGGCCTATGACTATGACCTTCATTATATTAATTAATTGAAATATTAATTAATTAATACCCCAGATGGGCTGCGCATTTCCTAAAATTTCCAAGGCACAATAAGAACTCACAAGCTACCTGCGTACTCACCTCAGCATTGGTCATTGTCGCATGTGTAACGCACAAAACAAAAGAACGAAAAACAAACAACAAAAATGTAACCAACTAGGCAATTAATAGTTATTTTACCAATAATGTACGTAATAACAGCTCCATCAAAAAGCCACATTGGAATGAATATAAGAAACCAGTTACATTCCACCTTTCCATCAGCTCTCAGAACGAAAATAATAAAAAATACCAATATTATGAACCAAGTAAATAAAGCTTTATGAACAGCTGCCATTTTCCTAACAGTTTTAATTGCGTGATTTTATTTATAAGAGAGTTCTCCTGTTACATGTACAAAAATATCATAGTATATTTATAGCTCTGTGAAAAATATACACACTTTAACCTAATAATCTTTTTAGCACGTAGTATATTCACAAATATTGTAAGTTAACACTTATACTACCGTAGCTATGTTTGGTATCCCTATGTTTTATGAAGGAGAAATATTTTATTAATTAAACAATCTCTAAAAAAAATTGTTCCTAGAAATCTTGTATATAAAAAGTAATAGTAATAGCTATAAGAGGGGGGAGAGGGGAGAGAGGGGGTGCTGGCATGCATACAATATAAAATCGCCCATTACACTGAAAGTAAAGTAGTTAAAGATCAGAAAATCATGTAAAAAATCAATAAAGGAAATAAAATTAATTAACACCATGTAGTCATTATAGAAATAGTGCAAGTGCGCTTTAAAACTCAATGATACAAAATACTAGTGATAAAAATATTCAGTTACATAACTTAAAAAGGCAAACTGTCACATAAAAAATAGGCATACCAAGACGGCATCCTGGTGCGCATCAGAGCAACTCATCATTATCATCATCATCACCTGTCGTCTCGTCTTGGGCATAGGCCACAAACAAAGGCTCTCCAGGCATCCCGGTCTTGGGCAAGTCTCTCCAGCTATCCCCAGTTGTGCCCATTCTTTTTGGTGTCTGCTTCCAGTTCCCTTCTCCAAGTCATTGTGGGTCGACCTCTTTTTTCTCTTGCCCTGTGGGTTGCAAGTGAGGGCTTGTCTCGTGATACTGGATGTGGGCTTTCTAAGGGTGTGGTCAATCCATCTCCATCTGCGCTGGCAGACTAACTCTTCCACTGGTTCTTGTTGTGTGCGCCGCCAGAGATCCTCGTTGGTGATGACGTTGGGCCAGCGGATTGGAAGAATCATTCGGAGACATGAGTTGATATTAACTTTATATTATTACCATATTTCCTTGAATAGCGTATGTAGCATTTCAGTTATAGTCGTAATATCTGCTGTCCAGGCTTCTGCCGGTATTCTGCCTTGCCTTTCTTTAGTTGTTTATTTGCTCTGCATATCTCTTGTTTTGTGGGTGTGCTGCAATCTATAGATCTTGTTCCGCTGTTGAGTGTGTGTTGTGGGGCTGGCCGGTTGAGGAGTTCTTTAAAATGCTCTATCCATCTTTTTTTTTTTTTTTTTGACCCTCTTCATCAGGTATTGTTTTCCCTTCTTTAGTTTTATTTTGGTCTCTATGGAGTGTTGAACTTTCCAGATAATTTTCTGATTTTACTAAATAATTATTTTGTTTTTCCATGTTAAGCTGCCTATTGTGGGGCTGGCCGGTTTAGGAGTTCTTTAAAATGCTCTATCCATCTTTTTTTTTTTTTTTTGACCCTCTTCATCAGGTATTGATTTCCCATCTTTAGTTTTAATTTGGTCTCTATGGAGTGTTGAACTGTCCAGATAAATTTCTGATTGTACTAAATAATTATCTTGTGTTTCCATGGTAAGCTGCCTCTTCTGCTTCACTTGCTAATCCTTATATGTATTTCGGGTTTTTTTTTATCTGTCTTTATACTACGTTTAACTTCTTTATTTGCTTCTGAGTGTTCTGTTGATGCTCTGGCCTTTTTTGGTTCTAGTGTGGCTATTGTTTAGATTTGCCTTCTTCTTTTTCCTATATTGGATTTTTTTCCATGGTTTCAGCAGAAATCCATTCTTTATTCGTTTGTTGCTTAGGGCCCAACACTTCTTCACAGGTAGTCGTGAATATCTATTTGATATATTTCCAATTTTGGTCAGTTGTTTCCTCATTGCCTAGTTCTTATAGGATCTGGAACTTGTTGGAAATGGTAAGTTTAAACTCATTTAGTTTGGATTCGTCTTTCAAGAGATTGGTGTTAAAACGTTGGCGCTTACTTCCCACGCTTGTCCAGTTCTTTTTCAGTTTAAGCCTTAATTTGTCAATCAGTAGATGATGGACTGAGGCAACATCTTCCCCCCCCTCCTTTTTTTTTTTTACTCTAACATCTTGTAGAGATCGTCTAAACTTATTGTAGATACAGATATGGTCAATTTGGTTAGCCGTTGACATATTTGGTGATATCCATGTCGCCTTGTTGATACTTCTATGCATGAAGAGGCTTCCTCCGATGACCAGTCCATCTGTAGCACATAGATCTGCTAGTCTTTCACCATTTTTCATTCATCTCTCCCATTCCGTGTGTTCCCATGCATTCTTCATAGCCTTTATTTTGCTGCCTATTTTCGCATTTAGGTCGCCCATGAGTATAACCATATTGCTCTTAGGACACTTTTGGACAAGGGTCCGCAGTCTGTTGTAGAAATCCTCTTTGTCCTCTTCTTTACTATCGTTGGTAGGAGCATATTCCTGTAGGATGTCCATATTGACTTTTCGTTTTGTGGTCTTAAATCTTGCCTTGATTATACGAAGACCGTAAGCTTCCCACCCTATAAGTGCGTTCTGGGCAGTTCTGGAAAGCATGAGTGCCACTCCTTGGTTGTGAGTCGCATTTTCATCTTCGTGGCCTGAATATAGCAGCAGTTCCCCCGTGCTGAGCTTTATCTGACTTGAGCCTGTCCATCGAGACTCGCTTATTCCTATGATGGCTAGTTTGTATCTCTGCATTTCAGCAGCAACTTTGACAGTTTTTCCAGTTTCGAACATGGTCCTTACGTTCCATGTTTCTAGACTGGTGGTGGTCCTAGTGGAGAGGATGGTTGTCCACCGGATGGTTTCCAGTTGGCTTTGGCCACCCAGCTTCATTAATTCTCTGTTAGGAGACACATCCTTTCCAAGGTCCGAGTTTCCTTTTGAAATCTTTGTGCGTGTTTTTGGAGCAAGGCTTTTTTACAGGGAAGGGTTATTAGCCCTTAATAATAATAGTAATAAAGTTTTTTTGAAAGACACGGTTCATCCCCAAAGGCTCGAAGCGCGGTACAAAGATAACCACATCTATAATTTACCACATTTAAAACAAAATCAACACTACAAAAACTAATTACAAGCATACCAAGTCAAAGTCTTTCTACCCATTTCAACCATAAGCAACATAGCCAATATGCATTAACTGGAAAATGTGGTAAACAACATCATCCCAGACGGTGTTTGCGAAATAGATCTGTCTTTAAATCGGTTTTAAAGGATGCCAGTGTCTGGTTGTTTCTAAGAGCGACAGGAAGGGCGTTCCAAATTGTTGGGCCATGTGCAGCAAATGCGAAAGTGCGCTTTCCGTAGGTCTCAAGGCGAACACGTGGTGTCGAGATTTTGCCAACCTTCGGCCAACCCTCCTCCTTTCTCACCCGGGCTTGGGACTGGCTACGCAGAGTTATCAGCACAACTAGGCTTCTGAATTTATCAGCAGTTTAGTAGTGTGGATCAGCATCTTGGAACATATGAGTTAACTGTGTTTGTTCAGACAAAAAATGTAAACCAGGGTAGCCCAACTATTGACCTAAACTAGTATTTAAGAGGTGCAAGAATAATTCAAACAACTAGTAGTCCGCAGGGGTGTAGAAAAGGTTGGGAAACCCTTGTGTAAACGTTTTACTGCTAGACCCAGTCAGATCATTTAAATAAACAATATTATCAATTAGAAATGAGAAGTCACAGGGTTATTTTATTTCAAAGAGTACATGTAGACAGGATTTCTTGGATTGTTCTCAGAATTTAGCTTGGTTGATAGAATACGGATATGAACAAGCCATCTAAAGGGGTGCAATTCACTGCTACTGGGACGGCCTATGTATGCCCCAGAAGGCATAAGTAAATAAGATGAATCTTGAGCAGTAGAGGGGACTGGGGAGTCTTCTCCCCAGAATTTGTTTAATTGCTTCAAAATCAAGAGGCACCTTTTGGAGAATATTTGAATTCAATGTTTCTATTATTAGACTTTTTGATCGGGGGGAAGACATTGTTAAGGGTCCGCAGTTGGCATTTTGGTGCCAGTGCCATACATAAAGTGAATTCCCCCCCCCCTCCCCCGGTTGTGGCGTGCCCCAGGGTTATCATTGGGCACAAGCTTATATTCAAATTCATACTGTAACACTGATTAGCGTGAAGAAATTGGGTGCATAAACTGAGGGTGCTCAAGACAGTCGCGTCAATTCAAACTGCAGGGGTGTATTTTGGGTACTTGAATTCAGTGTTTCTTTCAGACAATTGTGAAGTGACATTTCAAACGTTCGTGTGGGAAGTGCCACAATTAGCCATAATAAGAATCAAAGGCATCTTTAACGCCAAACCAGGGGGACGTGAACTAAATTTATCCCAGTTGTGGTGGCCTTGAGGGTAGGCATTTTCCTTAGTTTATCATTGCCTCTTAATTTTCATAGTTCCAAGAAAATTTTTGATGAATTCATAAGTAGCAAAAATGCACTTAAGTAAATAATTTAATTTAGTTTTGCAAAATTCTACACTTAATTGAAGAGCAACGGAAGAGCTGCCAGTTTGTTGTTGTAGTTTTTTTTTAAATAAAATTTCACTTAACCATAGAAAGACCGCATGGGCCCAGCAAGCCATAAGTCTGCAGTAGGCCAAAGATGTGATGTGGAGATTCTCTCACTTATCATATTTTAATGCAATGTGGGGGAGGATTAAACCGAAAAGTGGCAAAGGGGCCTCAAGAAGTCGAGTGACAACTCTGTTTGACTTATGCAAATATTAATTTTTTTTTATTTTTACTAAATAGTATGTGGTTTTCATGTTTTATTTAAACATTTTGGAGGTTAACTACATAGTTAATAAATTAGTTTAATTTTTTTTTTTTTTAAAAAGGGGGTGGGGGTCAAGGACACAAAAAAGCCCTGCTGGCATCATTTTTACATGTTGAACGCAAACGAAAAAAAAAATACTTATAATAAGTGCATTTTCCAAATATTTCAAAGCTTTACCAAAGTCAAAAGGGAAAAAACTGTATAAAGGTCTATACATTTTTATGGGCTATTAAAATGGGTCGTCTTCATATGTCGTAT